GTGATAGTTCCTGCAGTCCTACCTGCTCTCTCAAACCCCCCAATACCCCTTAGTTCACTAATTAGATGGCTTAGAAGTGTGGCTTCAAGCCTCCCCTTCATTCCCTCTGGGTATGATAGCCAGGAATCTTACTTCCTGGTTCTCATACAGTAACATACCGTGACATCAGGCAGTGCCATCACAGTTGGCCAAAGATAATTATTGTATTCAATAATTCCCTATAGCAGAATCTTAGACACATTGTGGTGAGTGGCACACGTGTCAACATTCTCCAATGCTCCTCTATGAGGAGCACTGGATTGCACTGCCTTCCTGGAAAACACCTCCAGGATGATGCAACCTAGGGAGAGGATGCAGCAGTTGGAAAAATTGAGGTTGCGGCGCTGGAGGTGAGAAATCTGTTTTATATTTATTTATTTTGCTGTTTTTCCTATAGATGGGGGGTGGGGTTTAAATGACAAGGGGCATCAGGGCTGTAGCATTAGGAATACAAGTATGTATTCCTAATGCTACAGTGTTCATTTACCTCCTAAATGACAGAGAATTGAGCCGTGAGACTACAGGGGCATGATCTATACACCAAAATTGTATAATTAAGCTAAAGTTGCTTTGGTGCCTATAATGTCACTTTAACTGTTTGCCCATCAGTACAGTCAGTTTTTTGTTTTTTTCCATTTGCAAATGTACTTGCAGTTTATAGTTTATAGTGTGTGTATAGTGTGTATAGTGTATAGTATTGTTTTTTTTTAGATGTGTTCAGTGGTCAGTTTAAACACACTGGAAAAACAAAAATAGGTTGCGCAATCTATAAATCATACAAATGGGGACATCATCAACCTGGACTGTATCTTTAAAATGATAAAGTGTGGCATTAAAATAAAGGTGAGTGAAACTCAGAAGATGGACTATAACCATTTTTATATAACAATATCTATCTCTCTCTCTCTGTCTGTCTATTTCAATGTTTTTAAACTATTACATTTGTTTTAATACTTGAGAAAATCGTTTTGTTGATATACAGCATATTTAAAGCTTTTTGTGAGTCAAATGTTCATCTGGACATTTCCTAGCTAACAGCAGCCTTTCTTAATTCTAAGATTCCTGGTTCTGTAAACTGAATAAATACTCCGTACATGACACTGATTGTGTGTTAATGTTGCAGTTTATGCTACAGAACGATTAATTACATGGCTGCATATTAGATAATGAAATCGAAGAATAAGGAAATAAATGCAGCGGTTATGAGATGTGCCGAACAATATAACATCAGCGGAAAATACTGGTTGGTGACATTTTATTGTCCACAAACAAAATTCAACTAGTTGGCAAAGATGCACCACTTTCCACAAGAGGCTCCTAGTCTGGAAATTAAATGGTGGTTAATGATTTGCTATAATTCTGTTAGTGCTGCCCAGCAAGTCACGCCAAATAGCATACATAAGCTTAGTTTGGAAGACTGCATGTGGTTTAGTCAATCGTGTAGTATATTAGAACCTAAGTGTTTCACATACTGAAGACTGTACAAAAACCTTTCCAAACATTGTAAGCGTACCAAATTTATCTGTTCTCTGTTAAACGGTCACTATAAACACCAAAACAACTTTAGCTTAATAGAGCAATGCTTGTGTTTTTAGTGTAGAGATCATGCCTTGGTCTCATTGCTCAATGCTCTGCCATTACATATCATTTTCAAACAGATATAACTTGATTTAAACGTTTTTATCTCCTTCTCTGTAAATTGAATTTAAATTATACACAGGAGGCTCCTGCATGGTCTAGCAAGCTATTAACGGAGCAGGAGAAATTTCCCCCCTAAATTAAACAGAATTTTAAAAAAGGAAGTGTAAATATTAGATGATTCTTTACAGAAAGTGTTTAGGGAGACTGTGACAGTCACATGCAGGAAGGTGTGACTAGGGCTGGATAAACAAAGTGATTTAATTTTTCAATGGCAGAAAATTGATCTATACACCCAAACTGCTTCATTAAGCTAAAGTTGTCTCTTTAACCTAGTTACACCCCCTGACTGTCCAGTTTGTTTAGCTCAGTGGAGCTAAACTCAAGAGGTTGCAATTGCACAGAGCACCTGCCTTACAAAGACCTCATTCAGCTGCATTGGGAACTCTGTGAATGGACAGTCAGAGAAAGTCTAAGCGGGGTTAGAAGGGAAGGGTTTGCAAAGGCTGCCAAGAAGAAATTTGTAGTTTTTGCAAGCTGTTTTAGATATACCCCAATGAAATACATTATTAAATGAATTCACGTTTTCTTTTTCATATTTACTAAAAAGTGTTTTTTAATTTATGTTTTATTTCAGCAGTGGAATGTGCCTTTAGCTAATAATTAGTAAACACCTATGGCATTGGTACTTGGTATTAGGGATGTGCATGGGCAAAAAATTTGGTTTGGTTCGGAATTTTCTTTTGGCACTTCGGCAATTCGGTTTGGTTCGGCACTTCCGAAATTCTTGACTTCGGCAATTTGGAACTTCAGCAATTCGGAACTTTGACAATTCGGGACTTTGGAGTTTTGGAACATCTATAGGGCTCCCTAAACCTAACCCTACCCTTAACCCTACCCCTAACTATAACCCAAACCCTACCCCTAACTCTACGCCTAACCCTACCCCTGTCATCATTCACATAATTTTCCCTCCCTCTCTTGTTTTGCCACTTTTCTGAAATTCAAAGCACTTTGGCACTTCCGAAATTCGGCACTTCGGCACTTCCGAAATTCAGTTCGGTTCGACACTTCAGAAATTTGGCACTTTGGAAATTCGGCACTTCGGATATTCGGAAGCATCCGAATGTCAGAATTGCCCGAAATTCGTCCGAATTCACATTCGGAACGCAACAAATTGTACATGTCTACTTGGTATTTGGTATTTACATGCCAACAATAAGAAAATAAATTAAATATACTTCAAACCTGCTATTTTGTCTGAAAATTTGCAATTCTCTGGTCAGTTTGCAATGATTCCCAGATTAAGATGACCTGAGTGTCCACATAAGCAAAGGCAACCAAATATTACAAAAATAAAAGAAGCATAGTGAACAGATTATCTTTCTCATGGGGTAATTTTATGTTTGCTGAGTTTTATTTTATATTTGCTGTGCTCATCTGTGTTATTAAAACTGGAGCATCTTAGTAAATAAAAAAATACATTCTTATGCACTGCAACTAAGCAACATGTCTTAATATTTTTAAATTAAATCCCTATGTTTATTTAATGCAAAAATCAATTACCATACATGCTATCTTTCCTTTTATTTTTTTTAACTGATGTAACACATTAACATCTTCCAGGAATTAATATGAAAGGTGATTTTAGATTTGAGCTTTTTAAAAAAAAATTGTCAAATGTGATAAATGCAAGGCTACTTGTTTGACTTCTTTCGGATCGAAGGAATGGTTTTCTAGGAAAAGTTAAATATGGAAATCCGTTTGGCAATCTTACCAACAGAGTAACTTATTTTGTACAGAGAGAGGGAAATATTATCGAAATGGAATATATTGCACATTTGCATCGTTTTAAGATCACCGAAAAAGAGTGAAAAAGCGTTATAAGATAAAAAAAAACAAATCTCCTGTGGAGATATTCCAGGCTAATGCTGCATATTCTGTGTTAAAGCAAAATAAACAGATACACTACACTTTTTATATTAAAAGTGGAAATCTATTCACAAACCAGAATTTACATAGGACACGTGGCCATGCATTTAGACTGGAAGAAAGAAGTTTTCGTCTAAGGCAAAGGAAAGGTTTTTTTTTTTCTGTAAGAACAATAAGGATGTGGCATTCTCTGCCTGAAGAAGTGTTATCAGATACAGATGTTCAAACAGCTACTAGATGCATACTTGCAAAAACAGAATATTCAAGGATATAATCTTTCAATTTAAGGTAATAACTGCTTGATCCAAGGATAAATTTGACTGCCATTCTGGGGTCAAGAAGGAATTTTTTCCCTAGCTTGTTGCAAAATCGGAAGTGCTTCAAACTATTTTTTGCCTTCTTTTGGATCAACAGCAAAAAACAAATGTGAGGAAGGCTGAACTTGATGGACGTAAGTTTCTTTTCAGCTATGTAACTATGTAACTATGTAAAAGTGGTGACAATGCTAAGCAGGGCCGGACTGGGAAAAAAATTCGGCCCTGGCATTTTTCAATCACAGCGGCCCCCTGAGAAAGGGGCGGGGCAAGAGAGGGTGTGTTTTGTCATCACTAATGACAAGTACGCCCCCTCTCAAAGTGAGTATGTTAGTTCAATGCGTAGAGCCCTGCTGAAGAGCTCTAGCATTGGAAAAAGGCCCTGTTTTTGTTCTGCGCAGCGCAAGCAAATGTAATAACATGCTTGCGCTGTGTTTGCTTTTAACTTGTCTCTGGTGTCTCCATAAGTGGGATACCAGAGGACAAAAGGGCCAGAAAAGCGTATGGTGCTTGTGTTTGGAGAGTGCTTGTGGGATTGCGTGTGTGTTGAGTAAGCTGATTGTGGTGTGGTATTGTGTAAATAGGTCAATTTAATTTGTGTTTGTGGTGTAATACATGTGGCTAGGGGCTGTAGCGAGTGTTTATAGGGGGCATAGTGTGTATAGGGGATGTAGTGAGTGTGTGCATACGGGCTGTAGTGTGTGTAGGGGTTGTAGAGATTGTGTGTTTAGAGAATGTAGTATGTGTTTGCTTACAAGGAATGTAGTGTGTGCATAGGGGATCCACAGTTTGTATGTCAGGAATGTAGTGTGTGTAGGTGGTGCAGTGTGTGTAGGGAATATTGTGTGTAAAGGACCCAGAGTGTGTATAGGAGATTGTGTGTGTGTGTGTGTGTATATAGAGGATTCAGAATGTATGTAGGGTAAGGGATCTAGCGTGTATCTGGAGCGTAATGTGTGTAGTGGTGCTGTAGTATATAATATTGTAAAGCGCTATGGAATCTGTTGGCGCTATATAAATGGCAATAATAATAATATGCATGGTGCACCCTTCACACATACACACAGCACACCCAACACACTGCGCCCTTCACACATACAATACGTACAAACACATACATATATATATACACACACACACACACATATATATATATTTGGACGTATTGTATATATATATTTGGACGTATTGTATGTGTGAAGGGCGCAGTGTGTTGTGTGTGCATGTGTGAAGGATGCAGCATGTGTGTGAGGATTGCAGTGTGTGTGTGTGTAAGAAGGGTGCTGTGTGTGTGAGGGTGTTCTTATCTACTGTCACATTCTATGTTTCTAATTTTTTTGGTCTGTTAACTTACTGAGGGTTATTTTATACATTATACATACGTGTGTGTTGTATATGTGTGAGAGTGTGCTGTGTGTGAGTGTGTTGTGTGACTGAAGGTGATGTGTGTGTCTGAGGGTGCTGTGTGTGTGTTTGAGGGTGCTGTGTGTGTGTGTGTGTCTGAGGGTGCTGTGTGAGTGAAGGTGATGTGTGTGTCTGAGGGTGCTGTGTGTGTGTCTGAGGGTGCTGTGTGTGTCTGTGTGTGTCTGAGGGTGATGTTAGTATTCCCTGGTGGTCCAGTGGTGAGAGTGAACTCTAGCCTGTAGGCTAGAGTTCACTCTCACGAGATCTGAGTGTTGCCGTCGCTCAGACCTCGCGAGAGGACGCAGCGGAGCTGCTGGCTAGAGCTCCGACGGTCCTCTCCTCCCTTCCTCACTCTCCTGCCGGCGGCCGCATCTCAGTGCCTCTGGGCCAGTGAGGGAGATCTTTGATCTCCCCACCGGCCCATGGAGGCACACAGCAGGGCTGGCGATCGGATAGCACTGGCCCTGCAGGGGCTGGCAGGGGAGATCCTGTGACCTCCCCTGCCGGCCTCGACCCACGGCCATCGCGGCCCACTGGGCATTTGCCCAGTATGCCGATGGCCAGTCTGGGCCTGATGCTAATGTGTACATGCTTTTAAAACTTAGTAGAAACCGTCCCTGTTACCTCCATCAAAACATCGGGATTGCAAGACTTGTGATGGTGGTAAAGGCTTTGCGCCTCTTATCTAGGTGGAGAGTTTCGAAGGGTTTGTACCCATTTTGCAGGCCAAGAGATTGATACCCACTTTGCTGGGCTATAACAAAAATTCTCAAAACCAGGGTAAGTGGGTGGGGGATGGAGAGTATGGGGGAATAAACCCCCAGTGCCAGCAGGATGTATTAGTATTAGTATGGGATGTGTCTCCTAGGACACGCGACTGAAATATGTGTTGCTATAATAATATAGTAATAACAAAAAAAACAAGCATTGCATTGAAACTAAAAATATAGCTAACTATACAACTCGTGCATTTTGGTATATATTTGTTGAATCGTTCAAGATATAGCGGTGGATGCCGAGGTGCTTCTCAAGGCTGCAGGCACGAATGGGCGAACTCTAGAGTCCTATGCTGTCGGTTGTGTCGAGAGCTCCGGTGGGTGTAGCTCTCCCTTGGTCATAGGCAGCCCCAATAGCTGCAGGGATTGGCCACTTCTGAGGCCTCTTGAACCCTCAGAGTTCACGTGTCATGGGGTATCAGGAGGCATCTTGGTGAACCCCATTTCTAGGGTATGTTGTGCTTGGTAAGTGTGGTAGTTAAGGGTTGTAGGGGCCTCCACCAGTTCATTGTAGCCCTGGATAAATCTGGGAAGAATTATAGGGAGTGTTCCTCGAAGTGGAAGGGATTTTTATTCCAAACCGCAGACATGAAGGCTTGTCTGTCTGGCCTGTTCGGAAACCTGGTGATAACATCTCTGTTGACTTTAGAGGTGCTGGCTGGTGGTGCTGGAATTCGGAAACAGCCCTCCAGCAGCATGGCTTTAGCCTGCTTTGAAAACCCAGAGTAAATTTATTAGGAAAAACAGTTATAGTGGCTCCATTCACTTCAGAGTTACATCATGGAACATGTGTCTTTTCCACCATGCATTCACTGTACTAGCATTTCCTGCTCATGCATAGTGAAAACATGTTCCGCCTCCACAATTTGTATAGTGATGTTACTCCCTTCTTCTGATGTCTCAGATATGTCTGTATTTTTTTTTTTATTATTAAAGGGACATTATAGGCACCCAGAGCCACCAGAGGCTCTTCCTGCTATTTCACAGAGTTTAATTCTGTAAAACGATGCTGGACGTTGCATGATGATATCCAGGGTCTTTCAAATAGAGGGGTTGCAGAAAAATTCTACATGGATGACTCACGACAAGGTGCTGCAGCAAGAAAGAAAAGATAATGTAAACAAAGCTTCATGGCCTGATGGTATTCACCCATGGGCACTTAAGGAGCTAAGTGTGTAAACAAGTAACCTCTGTTTGTATTTTTTTCAGGATTCTTTTCTTTCAGGAATGGTACCGAAGGATTGGGGGAAGGCAGATGCGTTTCCCAAATTTAGAAAGGGTACAAAACCTTTGCTTTGAAAGTATAGACCCGCAAGCTTACTCCTGTGGCTGGGAAAGTTTTAGAAATGTTTTTAAGGAAAAATATTCAGGAATTAATTGGGTAAAAAAGAGCATTATTATTAGGAACATAAGCATGGTTTTATGAAACATAGGTCATGTCAAACTAACTTGTGATCATGTAACTGTGTAATCTAACCATGTGATCTACTAGGATTATACCAAGGCGTTTTATACAGTTCCACACATTAGGTAAGTGTTCAAACTAAAATAAATTGGTCTAGATGAAAATTCTTGTTCTTGACTAGAAGACTGGTTTAAAGATAGAGTACAGAGAGTTGTCATTAATAGCAAATTTTCAAGCTGGACAAATGTAGTAATAGATGTCTCTCATGGTTCTGTTCTGGGGCCGCTTTTATTTAACATATTTATAAATGATCTTGACAATCAGCAGTTGCCATGTGCACTAAGGTCATATATAAAAAGGGGCAGTAATTCTCTGGATGGAAATATAATTTTGCCTCTTTATAAATCACTGGTAAGGCCACACCTTGAAAATGCTGTGCAATATTCAGTCCCTGTTGTAATGAAGAATATTATGGCACTATAAAAAAAAAAAAAAAAGTTCTGAATAAAGGTTAACACATTTAAATTTGTTTAGTTTAAATTTGTTTAGATAAACGGCGCCTCAGAGGGCATATGATTATGCATTATAAAAATATATTCAGGCCCCTTAGAAAACATGTCTAGAAATCTATTCATAAACGGGATTATACATAGGACAATATGCTACACGTTTACAATGGAAGGAATGAGATTTAGTCTAAGGGAAAGGAAAGGATTTACAGTAAAAACAATAAGGATGTGGAATTATCTGGCTGAAGAGGTGGTTTTATCAGAGTCTGTACAGATATATAAACAGCAACTGGTTGAATAGTTAAAAAAACATAATATTCAGGGATATGCTTTTACTTAGTGGGGTAACAGCTTCTTGTGCTAAGGAGAGATCTGACTGCCATTCTGGGGTCAAGAATTAATATTTTCCTAGTTTGTAGCAAAATTGGAAAGCGTTTCAAACTGTTTTTTGTCTGCTTTTGGATCAATAGCAAAAACAGATGAAGTTGATGGACCCGTGTCACTTTTCAGCTATGGTAACTGTGTAATAATTGGCAGGGTGGGTACTAAAAAACAAACTTTTTAACCTCTAAAAAAGAAACAAAGCTAAAACGAATTTCTTTTTTTAAAACAGCAGTTTATTTTTGAAATATGTAATCATAAAAAAAACTAATATAGACTACTTTGGATTTTTATTTAAGCTCATTGAAACGATATATAAACAAAGAAGGGACGTCTTATGCATGACCCTTTTTATGTCAAAATGTGTTCAAATGTGGAGCTTCAAGCAGCTTTTGCCTAACTCGCTAAAACAGTCATCTTTTCACCTGATATACTATTTAATTTTGCATACTATAGAAGAAGATCTATGCAGTCTTGCAAGATCTTCCATAGAACCTTGATTTGCAAGCAGTTTCAGATTTCCCATTAGGCAAAGTTGGCACCTGCTTACCTTTAGGGGGTGCATGGTTTCAGCACTTAGAATGTGCAGTGTTGGGCTTAAAGGACCACTCTAGGCACCCAGACCACTTCAGCTTAATGAAGTGGTCTGGGTGCCAGGTCCCTCTAGGATTAACCCTTTTTTTTAATAAGCATAGCAGTTTCAGAGAAACTGCTATGTTTATAAATGGGTTAATCCAGCCTCTAAAGCCTCTAGTGGCTGTCTCATTGACAGCCACTAGCGGCGTTTGCGTGCTTCTCACTGTGAAAATCACAGTGAGAAGATGCCAGCGTCCATAGGAAAGCATTATGAATGCTTTCCAATGAGACTGGCTGAATGCGCGCGCAGCTCCTGCCGCGCATGCGCATTCAGCCGAAGAGTAGGATCGGAGGCGGAGAGCTCCCCACCCAGCGCTGGAAAAAAGGTAAGTTTAACCCCTTTCCTTGCCATCCAGCCCGGCGGGAGTGGGGGCACCCTCAGGGCACTATAGTGCCAGGAAAACAAGTATGTTTTCCTGGCACTATAGTGGTCCTTTAAATAGGCTGGTTGGGAGATATAACTACCAGGATCCTTGACCAGTGTCCTCAGTAGTCCAGTCAGCCTTAATCGGAGACCTACAGGAACAGTTATTGAGTGTATACAACTTAGTGCCCACTAAGGCTCTCACACAGGAAATACCTTACAGGACGAGCAGGGGAAGCTCGGATTGATGCACACTGGATTGATATAACAGCTGCTGGCTACAGAAGACATAGAAGAGTGAGTATGTTGCAAATAGCCAAACTCCAGCACTCGAAGCCTAAAGCTGAAAATAAATCCTTTTACGTTAATCATTAGAGGGGTCTGGGTGCATTATCCCTGGTCCCTTAACCCTGAGAAGGTAATTTTAGCATTTTTGATAAACTGCAATAATTACCTGCTAGGGTTAGCTCCTCCTCTAGTGGCTAACAGACAGCCACTAGAGAAGCATCCGGCTTTTGGTTGCCTAACTAATGCTGGATGTCCTCACACTATGCATTGCTAAAACCCCTTAGTAAAGCATTGAATAATACTTTCCTATGGGGAAATACTATTGCCACACATGCACATTAGGTTTCTCTGCTGGCTGACATTGGCAGGGGAGGAGAGAAGGTGGCCGAGGGACATCGGTGCTGGACACAGAAAAGTGGCCGGGGATCCACAGGGGAGGGCTTGACAGA